TTTCTTGAGAAGTAATTAATGAGTAATAAAAAATAATGAGAAGTTTGTTTTAAGACTAATTTCGAGTATTAACAATGAAAACGTGGTATTTTTATTGTTAATTTATTGCAGAATCGTAAGCATGGGTTCTCAGTAAGAGAAATCGAAGAAATTGAATTTCGTCGATTACAGCGCCATCTATCATGAATCGAGAAAAATGTTTCAGACAAATTGTATGTGTTTTTAGCCAAAGATTCCGAATATGCAATAAAAAATAGGGGTTCCCATTTAAGATTTCAAACTTGCCCCCCCTCACCGCCCAGGGGGAGGGGTGGGGGGGCTGATTTTAACGTCATTGTACGTCCCCCTCGAAATGACGAAATTTTCATTCCAAACATTTTTTCGTAGTGTGCTTATTTTTCGAGTTATTTGGCTGCCTAAGTTAAAATGGGTCACCCTGTATATCACCCATTCCACCCGGCTCAAGGAGCCGGATAGTTTTTCCATCCTCTCAGGTGGATAGAATTATAGACATAAGATAGAATGGATAGAATAGGAATCTGAACGCTTTCTGGGTGTCTGGGTGCACCCGGGTGCGGAATCTGAACGTGTCTGCAGTCTGAACGTAGCCCTGGGGAGTGGGGGACTCTCTTTATGTAGACGCTGTTAGGAGGGGGAGGGATGTATGTTGAGGGTGGGGGAAGGGGTGGATGAGGAACGGCACGGTTCACGAAACGTTGGCATCAATATAATGAAAAAAGACACGGCGATAATCCGCAAACCTTCTGGTATAATTAAAATTAAATCATCTGTTCCACTCTACAAAAATAGACAAACATCTTGATACGATGATTTTTGACGAAGTTATTTTATCTTGAAATTTACCTATTTTTGCAGGATGGAACAGATGATGCTTTAATTTTGTTGAGTAGTGTAGATAATAGAAATTAATATATAATAGATGAAGTAAATAGTTTTATATGATAATTTGCAATATCTATCTCTCTTATTTGATAAATTTTTATATTTATATTTCTTACTTCAAAGCTCAAAGAGAAAGAAAGATTATAATTAACATTTTTTCAATAAAAAAATTTAATATATTCCTCTATGTATAATATATATCTCTTCTTTTTATTTTAATTTTCTTTTATTCTTAATGTAAAAAACACAGAAAATAAATCAACACCGTTAAAAGAATATGAGAGTTAATACTAAAGTTTGTTCATTAAATATAATAATACATAATATGAAATATTACTAGTCTTCATTAATATATAATTTTTAAATTACGTGATGATTATCAATGATATGACGATATAATTTTTTATGAAAAATGTGGTATTAAATTCACACGTATGGAGATACAAGACAATATAAACAAAATTGTTTACAGAAAATAAATATATTATTAACAGTAAAAAAAAGGTATTTATTATAATGAACATCTGTTTGCGCTATATTACATCGCTAGGCGGTGCCAACGATTGATGCAATTTCGTAACTGCCGTTTGCACTATCTGTTGGAAAATCTCATCCTTGCTAGTCACATCCAAATTCAACAAGTCTATATGTGCCTTCTTACCATCTACCGTGACATAGAGTTTCTCGCCTTTGAATATCTTGGGCACGGAATCCTCGCCAAACATCTCCTGCAGCATCTCTATGAGGCACTCCTTAAAGTGCATCCTGTCCATTTTGGTAGGCGCAGGTAAAATCTTCGGCGACTGATCCATTATTTCGGCCTGCAGGATAGCGGTGAGAACAGAATCTGCATACATATCATTCACTGGCGTCGCTACCCATTCCATCGTAACGATCTTGCCATCAATCGTGACGTCAATATTTTTAAATATTCTCAGTTTTTTATCGTCTACAACTTCCAGATGACCGGCTATCTGTGTCAGCAGGTGCTTTAGAACTGGTAAAGATGCAGAAAAGTATATGCTCTGCCGTTGTATAACTTGACTCATACTCATGTCCGTGTACTTGGACAGATCGCATGGCGCTAGCATATGATAATTGAAGTTTCTCTTGACCAATACACCGGATAACGTCTGTCCTGGTCTAGGAGTTTCCATCGCCAGTGTGCCCATCACCTTGGCAGTCTTCTCGCCTCTGAAGTAGAGTTCCACCGCAACCGTATTTCGCGGATTATGTATTTCCATGGTGGTGTTGGGATCATCCTCGTATTCCCTTTGTAACGCTGCTTTCAATCTACCCATTTCATTCTGCTCACCATGCACCAGCACTACATGTGGCGGTTTTAAAGTGCGTATAAATTCTGACGTTTGCTGATAGTCTGTATGAGCAGAGAATGAAATGTAATCGACGGACATTTTCAATGGTAACTTTTGCCCTGACATAGTTGTAATTTCCTCTGGTTCCGACAAGATAGTCTTGGCTAGCGTACCCTCTACGCAATAACCAGCTATAATTACTCCGTTTTTTGAATCTGTGCACCAAGATTCGAACAACTCTCTAGACAAGCCACTCTGCATCATACCGGGTGAGGCCATCACCACACATGGACCAATGTCTTCGAAGTGATCTATGCCCTTCAAATTAGAGATATGCTTGAATACGAAAGGATTGTTAATAGCTATCTGCCGTCTGATCTTATCATTCATTGCGTTTACATATGTCTGATAAACAGCCATACATTTCTTTGCCAATGAGGAAGCATAATAGATCGGTATCTCATGTAATTCCGAATGCTGACTCCAATACTCGTCCAGAATAAGGAGAAGCTCCTGTGCTCTTCCTAGAGCAAATACAGGTATCAAACATCTACCACCTCTATTGACAATCTCATGCACAAGATTCGTGAATCTACCCTCTCGATCCTCTCTCTTTTCGTGAATGTGAGTGCCATAAGTGGACTCAGTGATGAGAACATCAGGATGAATATTTGGGATCTCAGCAGCCATCAAATGCCTGTCCTCCTGCCGACTGAAATCTCCCGTGTATAGAATCTTTACACCGGCAATTTCAATCATGAACATAGCAGCACCCAACACATGACCCGCATTATAGGCCCAGAACTTTATTCCAAACATGTCCTTCTCCTCATGAAAATTAATCGTCTCTATTTTGTCCATACTGGTCTCTAGATCAGATTCTGTATACAGCATCTGCTCAGTGGCTATGTTGCTCACCTTGATATAGTCCGACAATAACCAGCGATAAATTGCCTTGGTGGCATGCGTCATAAAGCAGCGACCCTTAAAGCTCGTCTTTAATAGAAACCAGGGTAGTGCTCCGCAATGATCCAAGTGAAAATGGGAGATCAGCAGCAGATCAATCTCATCGGCCTCGACAAGGTCGACGAACGGAAGAGCGTCCATTCCCGAAAGTCCAGGATGTATGCCACAGTCCAACATAATTTTCTTCCCTTTAAATTCTAACATGATACATGACCTGCCAACTTCCTGACCTGCCCCTAGAGGCCGGATTGAGAGCAAATCGCTCTCCTCGGCCGGCACTTGCGTGTCGTTTTTTCTCTTCATCGACATTTTGTTAAACTATTGATTTTCCTTAGAGAATTATTCTCTTGTGCTACTTGTTTCTTATATTGTACTTTATGCTGAGCTTCTTCGAAAAAGTGTGCATCAAGCGGCAAGCATTTAGAGGTTATGTAATGCAAAACAAACTCGTGAAATAATTGGGCGCATTGAGCAGAAAAAAGCGCTACGAGAGCGCTCGCTGTTATTGGTATATTCTTCCAGATTTAAAATTCTGATTGGATGATCTAGAAGAATACACCAATAACAGCGAGCGCTCTCGTAGCGCTCTTTTCTGCTGAATGAGCCCATTGTTCGATGTTATACTAGAGAGAAGAGAAATTTGAGAGCGGCCATTCCGACATTCATTCATTGGTACAAAAATGACTGACTAAGGCCGGTATTCATAGTCAGTTCTTATTTGAAAACTGTCTTAAGTAAAAACAATACAAAAAATTAAGTAAATACATCAAAGGCTATTAAGAGTCAACGCTGTTAGCAGTGCGCAAAACATACAATCTTAAAATCTATAACATAGGGCGCACTCAGCAGAAAAGAGCGCTACTAGAGCGCTCGCTGTTATTGGTATATTCTTCCAGATCTAAAATTCTGATTGGATGATCTAGAAATATACACCAATAACAGCGAGCGCTCTAGTAGCGATCTTTTCTGTGAATGTGCCCATAGATACCATGTCGAACGTTTCGATCCTTAGCCCGGATCCTCATACGGGCAACAGCGCTTTGACACCAAACGCTGATTGATGAAAAACCGGTGGCGAGGGTAAAATTTACCCCCATAACCCGTTTTTCACCAATCAGCGTCCGGTGTCAAAGCGCTGTTGTCCGTATGAGGATCCGGGCTTAGTTTCGGATCATCATCAGCGACAAATACAATATAAAATTAAAAATTACTCAGAGTTGCAAACAATGATGTTGTCCCGCAGTATGTAATATACAACCAATCTGAGGTAAGACTATCACTTCTTCAGGTGAAAGTATGTATGTACACCCACGGTAATTGATTCTGTCCCTCGGAAATTTTCACAAAATGAAAAGTTACCTCCTTTCTATATTAATTGTCACTATTCATGCACGATAAGATTCAAGTCGTAAGGGTCTGCGCACAATAGGAGGAATATTAGGAACAGATATTAAATATAAGAATATTAACCTATCAGAACTGTGTACTGTGGAATGTGCGCTTTCTGACAGGTTAAAATTCTTATATTTAATATCTATTCCTAATATTTCTCCTATTGTGCGTAGACCCTAACGTTAATCGTGCATGGATTGTGACAATTAATATAGAAAGGTGGTCATTTTTTATTTTGTGAAAATTTCAGAGGGACAGAATTAATTACCGTGGGTTACATTAGTTCAAAATTGAGTATGTCTGTGAATTATATAATACATCAAGAATTAAAATTTATTAATAAAATTTTGATAAAACAGTAAAAATTAAATACTCAATAAGCTTACCTCAAGTTGGTCGACAAAAGACATAAAATCAATTATATCACAGAAATCGCATTGATCAAATTTAACACAACTTAATTCTAATGACAATAACATAATAAGAAAGAATATAAATTGGTTAATTATACCTTACATAAAGGGATTTTCTGAAAAATTCAATAACATTGTTAATGGATTCAATCATAAAATTTCTTTTTTTAGTATTAATAAATTGAAT